GGTGGTGGTGGTGGTGGTGGTGGTGGTGGTGGTGGTGGTGGTGGTGGAAGTGATCCGACGTTTAAATGTTTCCCCCTACCAAATTTTGTTTTTGACCGTTGTTCGGTGAAGTATCACTTCATCGATCTATCAAAACCTCGATCAACTCTCTTTTCAAGGTCCCAGGTTCTTTGACAATAGTTTCTATGACCAACGAGTAGGTCCTAGTAAATAGGAAGTTTTCTAACTATCTACTGACAGTCACACGAAATGGTAAAAATGAAACCATACAGATGGATTATGAAATTAATCGAATTCCCCCGTACAGAGAACTGTTTCATTAGCCACGGAATCGATTATCCCTGATTATTCTGAGGAGACAAAACTTTAGCAAACTTTAATCTGCCCATTATGGGCATAAATGGCACTAAGAGAAAAATTTTGCACATAAATCCCAATACTATTATGTTTGTTGACAGTAATACCATGAGTGAAAAATGTCTAACGGTTTATTGGATTTGAAGATGGCAGTTACGGATGCAACTGGGACGCATTTATTGACTGAATGCCTAACATCGTACGAGTAGCAAGATTTCACCGAAGGGAAACACATTCTGGCACGTATAGCTGCACTAGGAAAAGTAACATGAGCCCTGCAAATTGCGCCGAAAAGGTGAGGTGAGTGAATTTTCCTAACAAAAATCTGCTGGTAGTGAACTCTTCCCACGATGGGAGAAGAATGATTGAATTTACGTATAGTAAAGCAGCCAGTTATTGTTATTTGTTAGAGAAATTGTAAATCAATAGCACTGTTTGGCTCGTTTTCGTGAACGCGTCACGCGCAATTTATTCACTTATTCAACAAGAACCTTCACCTCCCCTCCCCTTTTAACCTCCGTTTCTAGTATCCATTTCGATTCCCTATCGTCTCCCGTCACTCGGACTCCTCAATTCAATACGTGAATAAAAACGAAAATCACTCGCTTCAAATTTGAAGCACAAACACACGGATTCTCAGTTTTCAATTTGCGCCCAGACCGTCCTTGGTTTTTGGAATTTCCCGAGGAAAACAGTTTTTTTTTCTTCTTCTTCTTTAACGAACACAAAAACGGAATGGGCAATCTTTTGGGGTCGCACAAGAAGCTGCCCAAGGAGGATTTGGAATTTCTGCGCTCGAATACCAATTTCACAAAAAAACAAATCAAACAATGGTATCGAGGATTTATCGTGAGTTCACCCCACCCCACCCCACTCCCTGACGTTCAACCCCTTTTTGTTCTGATCGATTTTCACCAGATCACGGTCACATGACCTAGTCCGCCTAAAATGTGTCTGTCACATGTGTCGCTTGTATGTGCATATCAATCCTGCCTGTTTTTCTCTTCACTGTCATGCGGATCAATTGACAGCTGTTTTCTCGTTTGTCGCCCGCTCGCCTTTATTCTGATATTCCCTATACATTTGGTCACATTTGATCGGGAATATTTTTCAATATCATTTGGCCATTTTGGCATTCTGATTTAGGCAGTCATTTATGCAGTACCTCACGATTATCCCGATTTGGATGCATCTATATATACACAAACACCCACATAGTGTTGACAACTTGCACGGGTAATGCCACTGCGGTTGCGGTTTGCAGATTGAGATCAAGAGTGACCAAAGTAACGAGACTGTAAGGGCTTGGGCAAAAACGATGGTGAAGTAGTGTACACGTAAACCAACATTACGGAGACACACGTATTAGCCTAAACCCACTCACCATTTCTCCTAGAGTGGGACTTGAAAACACCTTAAGTGCGGCCTAATTCGATTTCATCGGTTGAAAAATGACTCAACCCGTTCGACGCGAATTTTATTCAATTCCATAATGAACCTTACCCAGTCAGTCCAATAACAATTCAATTGAATTGAACTGAACTGAACTGAACTGAAGAGGGTCGGTGATTGGTATTCACGGGGTGGGGGTCGGGGAAGGGCGTTGAGGGGGTTGGGAGTGTGAGTTCCGAAAACTCTTGAGGAAACAGCTTGGTCTGAGCCCTTCATTTGCCCACGAAAACTACTCTAATGGATTCAATGTCAGTTTATTAGATTTGTTTTTGAGTCATTCAACTAACTCCCTTTTGGTCTGCAATAAATGAGTTGAAAGTTATTTCTGTGGCTACCTGACCTGACCTGACAAGTTACCTTTCTGGAGGACCTGGGTTTGGTGTCGGTGTTAGTTTCTGAGTCACCACGTATCATTTCGTATCCAGGCCGCACCGTAAACTATGCCACGTTTGAACCAAAAGTGACATAAACAGAAGTTGGGACTGACCACTTTGGCTAGTCATCACAAACAGTTAACTCGAATTGTACAGTTTGGAGATTGATTGTGTCAGCCTCCGCTAAATCACAATCTTGGTAAAGGTCAACGATGCTCTATCAGATAGAATCCTGCTGTGCGTACACGTGCGTGTGTGTGTATGCTGTCTTTTGTCCATCCATCAGGTAGCCATAAAACTTAGCGATAATTGTCCGCATAAAATTCAACCATAGAGGTGCTTCCACGGATTGTTTCGCTCAACTCTCGTTATCGTTGTGTGCGAGTTTCCTTTTGACGTGTTTCTCTAATTCCGAACAATCCGAGTTGGGTGCATGATGACGAAATTAGAGATGGAGACGAGGGGTTGATGAACAGCACAGATTTTGGCAATGAAATGAATTTTGCAAAACACTCAAACACTTATTTGTTTAGCCCCATTGTTCACGAATTATCCTCTGATCCAATTCCATCACAAATGCGGTCCTCAGATAACACCAATTAGTAGCAAAATGAAAAAAAAACAGTTTTTGTAGTCCATCCTCTTGTACCGTGTCAAACTGTCATTCATGAAATGAACTTTTATAATGGAGCGACAGTTTCATACAGGTTAAGCCCTCGCGGTTCACACCTGGGACACGGGAGTTGGACGGAGACAAGAAGTGGTGATAACAGACATCGGTAAAATTTGGCAAAAGATCCCTTTTTAGTTGCATTTACCATTGATTTATTTGAGATGATCATCCTTCCAACTTCATCTTCATACACAATCCTCAGTTCATCGATTCAACCATACACATGGAAGCACTAGACTCGAGTTTCGCTCTCATTAGAGCTCATCAATAGTGCATAGCCACAGTTCCACTGTCCGGGATTTTAACTCCGGACTCATCGCATGGAAGGCGTGTGTGTTACTACTGCGCCAACCAGCTCATAGAATGGCTGAACCAAATTTCCAATTCATTTACTAGCCAAATACAGCACTCTTTTATCAGTCACAAAATCACCTAATTCAAGGAAATAGAATAAGCGTAAATAATGTCGGTGTTTGTACGCGTGTGCTGTGGATAACAACACAGTAAGGGGTGTGTATAAGAGTTCAAATGTCATTAGTATTGTCGAATGAATCAAATACATAAATGATTTGACACTCATTTAATAACTGGCTTTATTTCACTCTAGCCTTTGTGGCTGGCCATGGTAAATCCAGAGCTCTGATCGATTGTTTTTTGAGCACACAATCACTGGGGCGAGGGGTTGTTCCACGAAATCACGATCGCTTTGGCTGTTGACAGTAAGCGATATTTGACCTGCTTCGATCTCACCCCGGTGATCGTGTAGATTGGAACTCTCTCACACACCCTTACTATGTTGTTATCCACAGTATCCATACACACTCATACAAACACAGACATTGTCTACTTTTTCTCTGTTTCCTTGAATTATGTGATTTTGTGACCTACAAAAGAGTGCTGTATTTGGTTAGTAAACGATTGGCCTAAAACGGGATTGTTTGCCAAATTGAGACTAACTGATGCAGTCCACGGATATTTCCCGGTATGTTAGTAAAGTAGAAAATTACAGAAAAATAGTACATGAGAGGGGAATCAAACTAAAACGCTCCGGAACAGCCTATCCATTATGTTGGGTCTAGAGACTAAGTAGAACAGTTTCAGCAGGAGCCCGGTGATCAGGTCGATAATATCTTTTTCTGTTCTTCTTCGGAGACACATCAAATTTGGTCGATCCATACACACTGTAGCTGCGGTCCAGTAGGATCGAAACAGCTACAGCAGACTTATCAGCTATTCCTTTTGTAAATAAATCCAGTAAAACCCCACTAAAATCATAACTTGGTCCTTTTTTATCATTAATTGGTAATTTTGATTTGTAAGTTTCACTCGTTATTTGGAAACTTTCGCCACATTTTATCGAAATGAAGATGATCACATCTAACAACTAGGAAGATCAAACTTTGAGCCTCATAACTTCTGCCCACAAGCCGACACAATTTAGTTCCAAAGGCAAGTACGTATTGTCCGCTTGCTTTCGTTTTTTACCTTTGTCAGAAACACAGGAAGATCTTTGACCGGTTCCACCTCATGTCCATTGCAGAGTTCAAATTGAATGTTACTCGGGTCGGTCCTCCCCTCGAATTCACTGGATCACCGATGCCCACCAGTCGTGGTTTGCCGATATCAGATAATGTAGACAATGGAGCTTTTAAAACGGCACAGGAATAACGGATTTATTTAATGGTCATCTGTGGTTTTTGTCTGCTCTGCTGATGCTATCTTTCACATTCAGGCTGAGTTATGTGTGTCAAAGGCGATTTTAGCCGGCGGGGGCGGTGTCCGGGGACCGGGGGGGGAGGGG